TCCCTGGAATCATCTTATTCTGCCAGTGTACGAAACGATTGCGAGCCAAGGCTAAACAGGGATGACTTTGGTGCCTATGTCAGCGCGAGCAGCTTAAAACTTCCAGTACCTCTAGTGCAGCCCGATGACAAGCAAGGCTTCTGGGAGTTTGCCCGTGCGTGTACTCGCGAGGTCCACGCGCAGATAGATTCTAAAAAGTACCTCAATCTTTTGAAGTTTTACCACTGTATAGACATTCCCAAATACTGCGCTATGTCTAACTACGAACACAACCAAGGGCGCCGAAGCCACATTTTTAACATTAACAATTACGGAGCTCAGCAGACAAATCAGAGTGATGCAAGTCCGTTTAAATTTGCTGGTTTATTCTTTGGTGTTCAAGAAGCGAATGCTGGCCCAACATTCGGTAATAATATCATGACTGTGGATGGTCGACTTTACTGGACCGTGGAGTACTTTCCACACGTAACCTCGAAGACACAAACAGAAGATTTCTTTGAATTGTCCTTACAAACATTAAGACAAGTTTATACGTGAATGATTTTTTCTAGAAGTACATATGTTATCCTCGTCATTGTTAAACGAGTTATTTATTTATTTATAGAATAAAAGAATTTCTATTCGCACAGTTTCCGTCCAATCTTGACGACTTGTGTATGCAATTTATTTTTTAAAAATTAAATAAAACAGCTGTATATTCCGATCCGTATTGTCACCATTATTAGAGAACGTATTTCTCCGTTATTTATAACTACAAAGTTTTAAAAATTAACATGTCCTTCCGATTTTAGAAAAGAATGAAAAAAGGAAATAGATTTAACAGAATATTCTTTATTTATAGCCTCTAATATATCAAAGCACAGGAAATTGACTCATATTTCAAAGTAAATTAACTCTCTGGCTAATCCGTATATTAAAATACTTCAAAGCTAAATAAAACACTTTTCTAAAGAATGATAAGTGATTTTCCCTTGCTTTTGAATCTTATCAGTTGGCTGAAGCTCTTACGAGTACTTTTGAAGTTACAATCGACTCCCGATATCTCGAACCTTCAAGGGAAATCGAAAAAGGTTTGAGTTATCGGGAGTTCCAGTTATCCGGAGCTCGAAGAAAATAGCCGGGAGTAAGAAAAAAAACCCAGTTTTTACTGCATAGTAAACATTTTCATCACATTTAATTGTAGAATTGTCAAGTGAAAATTAAAAGATACTTCCAGATTATAAATCAGAACGTAACGTAACAAAACATTGCCTAAATAGAGCATGCGCTTTACTGTTTTGAGAAGTAAAGCTGTTTCACATTAGATTTGTGACACACATTATCAGCCTCCAATAGTTAGCCTGCGAAAACATCCGTTTCTCCTCGCTCCTCGCCGTTGGGGACGTTTCGCGCGGAGGAACGTTTACGACTCAGCGACAGAAATTCCATACTGATGATGCAAATATCCGGTGGTCATCGGGTTCCCAAAATAACTTTGTCCAATTTTACGTGTTATGTTGTGTTATGACAAGGAAGGTCTAGAAATAAATTCTACTATAAAGTCGAGACTCTGATTCCAAATATTACCCTGTTACCTATAAACAGTTTTATCAATGAACTGATGAACTCTTTTAATTACTTTATCAATATACAATTCATAAAATATATTTCAGCTTGTTTTGCTGTTCGTGACAAATTATTATCAAAGTAACGTAATTGCCCTGTTTTGTAATTTTGATTCCTAAACATAGCTTTTGCAATACTGTATGTGTTTGTATGGTCATGCAAATAAAGCTCGTTGTTGTTGTTGTTGCTGTGTTCATCTGCCAACGAGCTCCCGCAAAACTCAAATGCTTCTTCTACAGACGACTATATGCCAAAAATATTGACTGTTTTGTAAGAGATTCTTTGCGTTTAGATTTAACCTTTTGTCTTTTGTTTGTCATTAGTAAACAACAACTAAAACAATGTAACTTCTCCGCCGACCAAGCAGCGCTTCTGACCGGTTTCCGGACAGAGTTTACGTCATCAGTATGGAATTTCTGTTCCTGAGTCGCAGATGTTCCTCCGCGCGAAACGTCCCCAGCGGCGAAGAGCGAGGAGAAACGGATGTTTTCGCAGGCTACCAAGAGTAAACTACATGCCTACACAACTCAATGCGAAATTCAAAATTCAGTGTTTGGTACGCCAGTAGACTGTTTTTTCCCGACTTTAAAGAGGGTAAAATTATAAAGAAATGATCCGAGAGGAAACAAAAAGTACTTCGAGTTAGCGGGAAGTTCGAGTTATCGAGGGTTCGAGTTACCGAGGGTACAATTACAGTAAATGTATGACGGAAATCCAGGGGAAATCGCTTTTGGTTCGAGTTAGCGAGGGTTCGAGTTATCGGGAGTCAACTGTATAAAAGACTTTCTTGCGAAACAGTGTAGTTTACTTCGAGGAAAACAATGTTAAAGAAAACTATTCTTTAAAACGCTTAAGAAGGACGCTAGGCTTATTGATAATTGACGTAGCTCCCTCGTAAAAGAATCTTTGACGTCAAATTTAAATCAAATTATTTTTTGAACTGACACATGCGCTCGTGATATTGCACGCCTAGTGCAACATATTTTTGGTTGATAGGAAATAAATATTATTCATACCACTCAATAAATATGCAATATTGACCAGGTGGGAGATCAAGATGGCTGAACATTGACCCAAGTCCTTTTTTTAAAGGAAGCACGGTCCATGAGAACAAAAACCGCAGAGAATAAGAAAGAAGCCAATATTCAGCCACTTGACCAAAAAAGGTTGCTATTATTATTTTTTTATATATATGGCTAAAATAAAATGTTTTCCGGCTGGAAATCTCGATCGGGCAGTTAAACCTATTTTGCCTTACCCGCGGCCGCCACAAAAAAATGTTTGTTAATAAAAACTGAATCATTGGATAATGCAATTCTAGAGCTCTGATTGGCTTAGCCATCATGGTATATGAGACATTATACCATGCTCTCCAAATATAGTAACTGTACGCTTCTGCTCAAAATTAAAAACAAGCTGAAAATCGGTTGTTTTTACAAATAGAGTCGGGAAAAATTGTCGATACTTTCTGGGCGTTTTTAATAAAACAATTATTCCACCGCGCTTGTTGGATATGAGATAATCATAGCCGACTCGGCACTACGCGCCTCGTTGGCTATCTAGCATCTCATATCCAAGACGCATTCGTGGAATAATTTTTTATTAATGAATGATGAAATCAGATTTCATTAACAAGCACAGCACACAATCAACATAAAATAATATCAGCTTTTAATTCCTTCTCATCAAGGTAGAAGCTGGCGTGAGTGATAGCTTTGCATGATCTTGCTCGATATCCGCCGTTACATCACGCAAGGCTAATAACTAGGATAGCATAGGTAATTCACGGTAAGCCTGCGAGCAAGCTCTCCATTTGAGGGATATTGTGAAAAGTACACGCGCGAGAGGCACGCGAGAGGAGACGCGCCGACCCCTCGCGGCTTCGCCGCTCGCTCGCGCGCTCTCGTGCCGCTCGATTCGCTCGCCCAAAAAGGAGAGCTTGGTCTCAGGCTAATTCACGGTATTCCATTTGCAGGCTTGACTCTTGATACTCGTGTCTCCTTTCGCGTGCCACTCGCCCATGACCTCTCACGATAGCCCCAAAATCGTCCCGAATGAGCGTCCGATCTATGTTTTACTCTAAAGACTAAGAATAACGAGTGAGGAGTGTGAAAGTACCCGTTGTTGAGACCGAATCTCTGGTGTCTCAGTGCGAAAACTTTCAAGGCTTCTTGTTGTTTCATTGTAGCACTGAGCTGCCTTCCTTTATCAAAACTGCGTTCCGTAATAGAGTGACAGGATATAAAATATCTTAAGGCTTGCTACTTGGCATCCTACTCGCTCAGAGAAAGTATTAATCACTAAATCCAGCGCTTCGCAGAACTCAGGACGTAAGGCGCCACCGTTCCCACGGAAGCCGTAAGCGTCCATACCGCTGGTTTCATGTAAGGGTTCGATTGACTTGGAGACTGGATGCCCGCTGGAAGTTGAAGCGCATCATTTGAGTATTGAGCGAGTTGTTTCCTTCGCTGTCGTAAAACAGAATCCGGTCTCTGATCCTCCAACTCTCTGATGAACTGCTTGTGTTTGGCCCTGAGGGCCATGCTGAAATACAAACAAATGTACGTTTAATGTAGAGAGTCGCGTTAACGCCGGTGGGTAATCGTGCCGGAGCTTAACACAGACTATGTAGCATTGAGCGACTAGGAGCTGCTCTCTCCTAAGCCTGAGTGGCCGGAGCGAAAACAAGGAAGGGGAGGGAGGGGTGGAAACCCGAAAGGGAAAAGGGGAGAAGGAGTCCCATTTCCTCTCTCCCCAGCCCCTCTCCCCGCCACTTTTTCACATGGAGGCTACTCTCTTGACAGTTTGCCAATAAACCTCAGGGTTAGCCCCCAAGCCCCGAATTTTCGCCACCGGTACACAGTTTAAAATGGATCGTACAAGGAAACAACACAGCGACAATGCATCAATTTCTACAAATGGCTCGAGGAACACAAAATAAAGCAAAGGGTTTTATCTGAGAAAACAACTGTGACAATGCATCCATTCATACACCTACAACTACAGTACAAGCCTGCGTATCAAGCGTTTTTTTAAGAAGCTGGATGACGCCCTTACATTGGGTTTACTCAGGTCCCACCATCGTTCTCAGTTCTGAGTACAAGCAGAAACGGGTGCTACACAGCCAATTTACCTGCAATCGGCGACGAAATTAGCCGGCACTTTTCCCTCAAGGACATTCCTCGAGATCTGCCGAAACTATTTACTTCAAAAAGTGGAAATGAAGCCTAAACTCTCCTCACCCCCTATGCAATGTTGTGCCGCTAATTAAGCTACATGTAGAAGAGTACAAATATCACCCCGGCAACTTTTAATGATCTTGAGTGGAGGTGGGGGAGGAGGTGTAAATATTTTGTCCTCCGAAAGATACCGTATCCCAAAAATAATCTCAACAAATTTGTCGCCAATTGCGATGGTTGGAGAAACACAGTGAGTAGTGAGTGTTCTGAATGAACTAGAAGGAAAGAATGAACAACATTCCTCTTCTCAGAATGATAAACCTTCCGTTTTATCTTACTCACCTTTCCTTAAGGTAACGTTCTGCAGCGCCAGCTAGCTTCTCGGGAGGGAATTTACAGAAGAGTGAATGAGATGCAGTGACAAGTTCTTCCACGTAATCAGGCAGATCGTCGGGGATTCGAGAAAGAAGATGGTGAACGTAACTCATTTCACATTCACCGCTTAGAACATCAGCACGGCGGCGAATAATAAGCTGCAAGGGAGAAAGCAATCACGTTACACAGAATTTTCAACGCAAACTAACGTAGTCGCAGAGTGAAGTCAATGTTGATTAAGAAGGTAGAGTTATACGGAGCAAGCTTGAGAACAAATGACATGATATGCGTAAAAACCACAAAAAATCGGACACAACACTCGACAGAGTATGCACAGCAAACTCCCAACGAAACGGCTTTGTTTTGAACATGCACAAAGGAGAGCTGAAGTGTTGCTCTTTGCGCCTGCCTGAACTTTAGAAGCTGATATTTAGTATCAGGCTGATCAGGAACAGAAGGCCCCGAAATAGTTTTGGTTCTTTTGGGCCAGAAAGTGGCACGTGTTTTTCAGCAAAATGTCCAGGAGCGAACAGGTTAACCTTTCTCACACGGTCACCTTCCTATAATGACCACTCTCGTCAAGGCAGTCATAGAAGGGATGGTTCGATTGACTTTACGGTCATTTCGCCCCAGTTACTTAGCCCGTCTATTTAAGAACGAGGAATATTATATTTGAAGCTTACTTTTTTCGGTTTATGGCTTAAAGAACGACAAATATTACATTTGAAGCGCGCTTGTTTTGCTTTATGGCTTATAGAACGAATAATATTACATTTGATGCTTGCTAAACGACTCGAAAAACCGGAACGAAATGACTTGAGGGCGAAATGACCGGTTACCTCCTCTTGTATATCGAACGTGGGGTTTTGATCAGAAGAAAGGCAGGAAGGAGGGCAATTTTCTGAGATTCCACACTCACGTACACACGTACACTTACACAGACCGAAAAAAAGGAAACAGACTTACCGCAGCTCCGAAGTACACGGGCATAAGAGGATGAGTGGCTAGGAAAAAGTCATACAGTCGCACAATGGTGGTAAAGTCCTTAAGCACATAACCATACCACGTGATCAGCGAACTAAGAGCGAAAACTTGACCCACTTCAGACCTGATTTGTACATGTACAGAAAAAAAATGATAACAAGTAATGTTTGAAATTTAGGGGAGAGCGTTCGACAGGGAGGGGGTAATAAGAAAAAGGGAGGGGTAGGGTTGGGGAAGTGGGAGGTGGAGGGAAGGTAGTGCAAGCAGAACCTCACAAGTACAGTTCAATATGGTTGCACTTTACATTACTCACTAGTACCATTTTCAAACAGTCTGTTAAAAATGAACTTGAGAAATCAATTTTCTTTACTAAAATCAGCTAACGGGATAATAAACCAAATATTTAAGACGTTTACTATTCATTCAAAATATTTCCCTATTCTGATTGGCTAAAATCACACGCATAATTCACCATAAGCAGTTACTGACGACCAAATTTGGAAGAATTCTGTGTTTAACGAGGAAATGACGTCAAAAATGCAGCGTTCTTACAGGTTAATGCACCGTTAACCGAGAAGACCTGGACCTCATTAGTTGTCGAGCGGCCTAGTACGTACCCAGAAATTTCCCTGCATGATGCATATGTGTAAAAACCTCTAATTTTCAGATGTCCTATACAGTCATTGACCTAGAATTTTCCTCTCAAGGCCACAAACAAAGCGGGGAGCGAGTTAAAGGAGGAAATCCTGCTCAAAGTTTAATTAAGCAAGCTGGCACTATAGACCTTGGTCCCCTTAGCCTTATTGGGTGGGGCGGAAAAGATTCTCTTCAGCTCGCTTCTCCCAGGGAAAAGCCCTAAAGGCAAAGTTTGCATTTGACTAATTTAATTTAGATTTCTTGGAAATAAAGCGACTTCATTGGATTGCGCAGGTTCGTGTAGCACAGGCTTCTGCGGTCAGTAGTTCCGCTGGGATCAACTACACCCTTCGCTAGGTTTTTCCTTTGTTATCTCTGCAAATTGTTTCTGAATCAGCCGACTTTAAAATAAATGCGCTTTTCTCTCTTACGGTGTAAGTGCTGTAGACTACGAGCAGTCTCTCTTTTTTCTTAGTGCGTCAAGCGAAACCCTCGAGACACGAAAATGACCACGCAAGTGCGCGAGACGGGAGAGGAACTCAGTTTTCCGCCCCCGCGCCCTCTTTTGTCGCTCTTATTTGTTAAAAAAAAAA